TATAAATATATTAAACAAGAGAGTATTATTTATCTTTTAATATAAATATATTAAACAAGAGAGTATTATTTATCTTTTAATATAAATATATTAAACAAGAGAGTATTATTTATCTGCTGATATAATTATATTAAACAAGAGAGTATTATTTATCTTCTGATATAATTATATTAAATAAGAGAGTATTATTTATCTGCTGATATAATTATATTAAGCAAGAGAGTATTATTTATCTGCTGATATAATTATATTAAACAAGAGAGTATTATTTATCTTCTGATATAATTATATCAAACAAGAGAGTATTATTTATCTGCTGATATAATTATATTAAACAAGGGAATATTATTTATCTTCTGATATAATTATATTAAGCAAGAGAGTATTATTTATCTGCTGATATAATTATATTAAACAAGAGAGTATTATTTATCTTCTGATATAATTATATTAAGCAAGAGAGTATTATTTATCTGCTGATATAATTATATTAAACAAGAGAGTATTATTTATCTTCTGATATTATATTAAATAAGGGAGTATTATTTATCTTCTGATATAATTATATTAAACAAGGGAATATTATTTATCTTCTGATATAATTATATTAAACAAGGGAGTATTATTTATCTGCTGATATAATTATATTAAACAAGGGAATATTATTTATCTGCTGATAAAATTATATTAAACAAGGGAATATTATTTATCTGCTGATAAAATTATATTAAACAAGGGAATATTATTTATCTGCTGATAAAATTATATTAAACAAGGGAGTATTATTTATCTGCTGATAAAATTATATTAAACAAGGGAGTATTATTTATCTGCTGATATAATTATATTAAACAAGGGAGTATTATTTATCTGCTGATATAAATATATTAAACAAGAGAGTATTATTTATCTGCCGATATAATTATATTAAACAAGAGAGTAATATTTATCTGCTGATATAATTATATTAAATAAGAGAGTATTATTTATCTTCTGATAAAATTATATTAAACAAGGGAATATAATTTATCTGCTGATAAAATTATATTAAACAACTAAGTAGTTAATGTGCTAACATATGTAATTTCAACAAACAATATACTAGATGAAAAGTTAAAAAAACAAGGATACATGCTGGATCTTCTACGTCAGGTTCGGGAAGGTCAAAGTAAGGGTGGATTCCCAACAATTCTGGTACCAATGGTAAAGTCAGATAAGGATGTTGAGCACCAAGTTTTTGTAGGCACCTAAAATATAAGACATATATTTAATACCGTTTATTTTGGGAAACTCTATAACACAGTGTCTGTATACACCCCACCATATCAAATTTACAAAGTGTTAATACATTGTTCAACCACTTCATTAACTGAATAGATTGAGTACTTTATAAGTTAGCACATGGTACAATGGAAGCTAATATCTCAGGACTGTCTACGGCCAGTGGTGCTGTACGAGCACCATGACATGGGTACTATTTGTAGCTTAAAAGATGGCCGGGAAATAATTTTTTTTTCTATGGGCATCTCTGAAATAATCATGGTAAATTCATTGGTTATTTATACATAAAACATTGACATATTCATTACCTACATCTTAAATACAAAACCCTTCACAAACCTCCATCTAAAACAGTAGGGAAGAAAAGCCCCAGATATCAGTTGCCTTTGTTTTAAAGACAATATCCTTTACATAACCCCCTATCTAAAACAGTGGGAAAAAAAACTTCACATATCAGGCTTTTATGTGATGCAAGTCTCAACTGTTTATCTGGTGCAGTTCATTTTCTACTCAATTTAAAAAGAGGTTCAACAACTTATGGACACCCTGTATTTTCAACTTACAAAAAAAGGCATGTTTATTACCAAATTCATAATTTTGTTATGGAAACAATTCAAGTTTTTTAGCTGTGATAAAAATACTTACTTACACCTCATTCATTTGGGTTAACAGTAAGATCATTGTAATTTGAATATTTTGTTTTCTGTTTTGAACGCAATACTACAGCTCATTAAGAAAGATGAGTTGTAGCACTTTTAAATCTTAGAATAAAAACATCTTCTGTCAGTTGTGATATGGGATGGTACAAAAGTTTGTCATCAACATCACTTTTCTAAGTCTCTGCCCTTACGTGTGGTTGAGATGTGCACAGTAAAGATCAAAACTCAATATTACAACAGGATACATTAATAGATTACTGATATCCCAACCAATTAGTTAACAAAGTAGAAACACAAATATGATTTAGAAAAAAAAATCAAAAATATTGACTTAGAAATACCATGGTTGTGCTCAACTTTTTTTTTTTCATCATCCTGTCAGATGTTGTTAGACAATACCCAATGTAAAGCAAACCAATATCATGCATTTTAGAATAAATCTTGTTAAAAAATAAATTTTATGAAAATTTTTTATATTATTTTGCAATGGAAAAGGAAGGAATCATGTTAGCCAAGAAGAAAAAAAAAGGGCTTTAATCAATATCTAATTAACTTTCTGTTACATGACTTTAAATATGTATAAGTGTTTTTACTGCTTGAAAATTGTTATAATTTATACAACTGCTAGGCCTACTACTTACCTCCAAATTGACCTCTTATCCTGTGGATACCTCTTAAGATTTTCTAGTAAACTGTCCACACAAGATTTCAGTCCAGTCTTGGTTGAAAGTTTACAGCTCCCCAACATTTCGTGCAGGGCTTCACGGATATCCACAGAGAAATCCTAAGGGAATCAAATTCATTTCTTCTCAAGGTCTACTATTAAACGTTGGGCTTACATAGTACAATACGAACTGTCACTAAAGTATATTTTATTGTTTTACATTGTTATACAATACCACATCTAAATATAAGTGTAATCACACGTATTTAGTTATCATGCTAAGAAAAAACTGTATTCTGTGCAGTGGTTCTAGAGTGATTGCTTGAGGTACATTATTGTAAAGCAGTAGTACTTGCAAGATCAGAGGTAGGGGGGTGGAGTACACTGGAGTACTCCTTCAGCACCTGAAGTTGGAACACTTCAAAAACTAAAAATACGCATCTAAAAACAATTACTCAATTAACACCTGAAATTATGTCTCATACCAAACAATTAATCAAAAATTACTTCTTTTTTTAGCTGTTGTATTGTCAGGATAGGAGTTAACATTAAGACTGTTAACATTATTGTGCATTTAGAAAGATAGTAAGTTAATAAGATATGTAATTTTCAAACTTGTTTAAATGTTAGTGATTCTTATTTGGTGTACAGTTGTTGTTTTGCTTTGCTGCTTAATTTAAAAGGAAGTTTAGTTGCCTGTCTACTGTATGCGTATTCAGTTTGGCTCTAATGTATGTATGTTAAATAATGAGTGTTGAAAATATTTTTTTAATTTAAAATGAACTAAAAAATTGAAATTAGACTTTGAGATCTTTATGGTGACATCACATGTCTGACACATTTTGGCGTGGCTCTTGGTGCTATACGATTTAGCATTACACCACTAGTCGAGGAACTTTCAGGTAATGGAAAAAAATTCATTTGATATCATTTGTCCCATATTAGAGACACGACTACAATGACATTTGAATGTGTAAGAAAGCAACACATGAAATAATCTACATTTGAAACAAGGGAGCCGTGTGTCCTCGTGACCCTATAGAACTTCACCACGATATGTAAATTTCTGATTAATTAGTATACATGGTAGCCATATTAAATAGCCAATTTCATAATTAGCTTTTCGACAGTTGGTGGAGAGATAATGGGACACCGTCACTTCAAATTTAGCACTATATTACTGGTTCTACGATACATTTATGTAACTTAAAACACTGAATACATTATCAGGGTAAAAAAAAAGATCTTCTAGATATTATTTTTCATGGAAAACATACATTTCATACTAACACAAAAAAGTCACAGGTTGTACTCAGATGTTATATATTTCTTTGTTCACAAGAGTTTGCTATGAGAAGTATTCTAAATAACACAATTCATTTTTAAATATTGAAATACATGATGTTAAAAAAAAATCTTCTTTTGTAATTGAATATCACAAATGAAACACTCTACCTCCAAAACTCCGAGCACCGTTTCCAACTGGTCCTCTCGTAAAATAATGTGATTGCTAATGCGTGTTAGACACTTGATAGCTTTGAGTCGAACATCTTCAATCTCGTCATTAAACATATCCACCAGAAAATCCAGTGAGAGACTTGCAAAGTTGGGAAACTGTATGGCCAGCTCACAGAGGGAGTCCAGGGCTGGACTTCGGACTTCTGTGCTCAAAGAGTCAAACAGGGAAGAAAAGTGTTTTTTATTATTAAAACCTTATAATTCAAACAGAAGTATTCCAAGAGATAATAGACCTGATTTTTCTTCTTCACTTTAACCTTTAAAACATTTTTAGGGTAACAAGAATTATTCAAATAAAGTGAAAATAGGATTATTATTCATATTTCAACCACTCAACTTGCTTCAGTCAGACTACAATATTATCATACTTGTCATTACACCAGCCCAACAGCATCTTCTATATTCAATGAAACTACTTATTATTAAAAATACAAATTCACCGACTGAATGGCATATTATTTTCATTAAAATTCTTTTTCATGATGTAATTCTTAATTACACCCAATTAATGTATCGATTTCAAGTATGTCGGTTACCTTAGAACTAGAAGTTTATTGAAAAAAACCCTCAAAACAGAGCACTGACATCATACAAAGATTATTAAAAAGAACTATGTTTAAAGCTCCTACCGGTTGATAGAGCCCAATGCCATGCAGTACTGAAAACTATAGATTTTAAATAATATCAATTGATGCAAATAATGACTAGATAAATGATAGAGAATGTAGTGGATAGACTAGAGGAAAAGTAATTTAGTCAGATTGATTAGAGGGATTTATAATGTAATCACAACCCCAAAGCAAGATGCAAACCACAGTCTCACATTCACAGTGTGATACGCTAACCACTGGCCTGAACTCAGCCCCTGTAAACAAGCTCTTCCTATTTGCTTCGATCAGTTAATTCAGAGGTGTTGACATTTTTGTGTCACCAGGGAAACACTGGGCAATACATTAAAATTAGGTTTCTGTCTATACTGAGTTCATCAAAAGAATCTGACTTTTAGAAGCAAATTAAAAAATATATAGAATGTTTAAGGGGTAAAAAAAAATGTATTAAATCCAAAAATTTATTTTTAACTGCACTACAATATAAATAAAAGAACAACAACAACAAAAATCTTTAACATGCAAGTAGAAAGTAAAACATTAAATTCACCTGCCTAGCTCTCATTCTTGTAAAATTAGCATTAGATAAAAAATCACTGCATTTTTATTTTTTATCCTTCCACAAATTTTGTACAAATGTTTTATTACCTAGAAACTCATCTTCGAGCCCGTGCACAAAAGCTCCACATGCTCCAGACATTATCAGGTTAACATTTTCTGCATTTACTGTCTCTTTTGGTGCATCATCAGCCCACTTCTGACCCGTAGACCACTCACCACTTTCAAAGTTTTCTCTCTGTCGTTCGTGTGCTGATCGTTTCCTCTGAGATATTAGTTTAAATGTTATTTATTTCTAGGATATAAATAAAAAAGTTCCATACTTTAGGCTACGCTGAGTGAAAGTAAAATGAAAAGGAAATAAGCTGGCTTGAGAACGAAGGTGGAGTGTTATATGATTTCACATATTAAGCAAATTGGAAACTGGTGAAGGCACTAAGTGTAATCAATGAAAGATATTAAAGTCTGAGAACTTAAAACAATTATCGAATTTTCACTTCAGTCACACGAGTAAAAGGAGAATGAAATGTAGGATTACAAATGAATTAGAACACCATAATTAAAAATTGTGGTTTAGTTAAATTAAGAAGATTAAAATTGTACTGTTTTATGTACTTAAGTTTGATAATACATAAGAGTTGGTCTTAACACCTAAAACGTAAAACCTTATAACAACAATGAATGAAAAAACATTTTAGTATGTTAAATTGTACTTAAAGTGAACAATAAATTATAGTACTGATCTTCAACTTACTTAAAAATTACTTAGCTTGGAATTCAGAAAATAAAACTTTATTTTCTTTAGAAAAAAAAACATGAAAGTCAGTACTTTCAAATCCAGCATGAATTTCATACTTAGAAAACGATTACTTTATTTCTAAGTCTACAACTTAGCCATTCTTATAGTGCACATTATGCCCCAAAGTGTGGAGTGAAAGTTACGCAGCAACAAAGCAATAAGCTTCGAACCTTGAAGATTCATGTTAAGAAGTACACTGCTGTAATAACTCCTAGTAAAGAAGGGTTCATACATTGTCAGGTACAAAAATAAATCTAGGAATTTTTCAGAACTAGTTGGAAGTTTCCATGCTCAAAAGTTGTTAGGCTGACTCAGCAGTTGCATTAAGATGTTATACCATGTAAAATAACCAGTTTACTAAGAAGTCATCGTAAGTAATTTTCGACCTGATAATTTTTATACATTAGTTATTACAGCTATTATCTCATCTCTACGTCAGCTCCGATTCGTCAGACAGCAGACGTATGTTGTTTTTTTTCCACACACACACGTGGCTGGACAGTGCAGTCTCGCCCACGTCGGTAATAAAAAAAAATATTTATCACAAACTATATATCTGACCAATATTTGTTTGACAAACCTTCCATAATTCATTCTTTAAATTTGAACTTACAGGCCACTCCTGATTGAAATTAAACTCATTTTTGTACAGATTTGCTGCAATTTTTTTCCACTCGACTACACCCCAAAACATGTAACTTTTCCCTCATCATAATTACCACTGCTCATGCACCCATACACACTTTTCATATTCTCAATCTCAATGATCATGGATAGTATGTTAACAAAAGCATTCAGTATCGTAGATACAAACTGTTTAAGTAGGCCTAAAATCAATAGTTTTTAATGCAGCTTCAGTAAAATCTAACAAGACAATATAATATCTTCTACATGATATTTTAAACAATGCACTTCGAATTTACAATTAGTGTTATTGGGAGATTTACTTGTTTGCAACAGTGAATGTGATTGTTTCTATAAAGTATGACATGTGCCTAAGCTAAACTTCCTTGTTGTATATACATCAATTTTTTTTATATTTGAGTAAACTCTTCAACAGTTGTTGTTACTAACACAGTCAAATACTGGCCAGTGAAAGATGAACAATAATGGCACACTTTTAATCTTCAAATATATATAAATAAAATCTAATCTTAAAATATATAAATAATATCTAATCTTCAAATATATAAATAAAATCTAATCCTTTGTAGTGCTACTTTTAACTATAACCTACAGGTTGGTGTAATATGGTGTTAATTGATCAATTTATAAAACACAAAAGTGTTTTCTTCAGTTTTTAGATTTTATAATCATATCTTTCACCGGTATAGAAAGTATACGGTTACTCAAAACATGTGAAATAATAAAGTTATACGAGGAATATTCTTCAAGAGCCATTTTAAAACATTAGCATGGGAAGTAGTTTTTCAAGCACTTTCCCGAGTGCATACTAACCCTGTAAAATGTTGAGGATGTTTAGCAAGGTTTATAACCTTATCAATAAATGTATATGTGAAATGGTTAAATAGTTTAAAACAAGGTTAAGAGAATCAATATTTTGTCAGCATTACTTTATATCTTATGTTTTCTGTCTAGATGTGTGTAAAGTTGATTTTCACTTTGTGTTACTAGGAACAACGTTTGATCTTTTTCTAATCAATTACAAATATTTGAATCTATAACAACTATGAGTTGAAGTTAGAAATTAAGTTTATTACAATGAATGGAATAGCATTTTAACAAAACATTAAAATGAGGATGACGCAAGATATACGTCGAAACATGTAGAGTGTATGGGATTGTTTTCCAGTCACATCGTGGTTTTTACCACTTTTTAAACTTGTACAGTAAGTTATTATTTTAGTAATTTGGAGACTGGAAACAATCTCATTATTATTGAATTGTGTATAGAATAATCGTTGTTTTTAAAACATTTTTTAATTTTGAAGACGTGCCAAAAAATTTTGAAAAAAAAAAAGATTATTGTTCAAAAGTTACAAATACGTTTTCAAGACATATAAATCCTTACTGTCTAGGAAATTTCATGCAAATATAAGTCACAATTTTATATTCCTTATCTTGTTAATTGCAATTCTTTTGCACACTTACTACAGAGTGTTTCTGAAGAAACTTCAACCAATATTTCAAGGCTTATTCCGACAAAAGGAAGTCTAGAAAAACGGAAGTACTGACGTAATATTAATGACTTTGGTTCTGAGAAATGACAAATATTTTTGTTAACATGAAACTGTCAACAAGTGAAATAAAATATGCAAGTTAAATATTAATTTTATATAAACATAGTTCATTGTAAATACAGCATTGTATTGCTAATAGCTATTGTCAAAAGTTCCAAGTTCTTGTCCAAAAAACAAATCAGACTTACTCTCAAATTTGACATCAGTTTTTTGTCCAGTGTTTGTTCCAGGAAATTCAGGCTCACTTTATCCATACCACCCTAGGCAATATAAATATATATCTTTTGGTCAAAAGTGTTTATAAACAATAGGCATTCAAGTTTGTTTTACAGATATAAAATTTTAGCCACTGTTCGATAAAACACTGTCCAACTAGCCAAAAATATAATTTACAATTATTTATCTGAGAGAAGTTGAAATACTTAGTTCTTAGATGCCTTCAAATAATGCACCTGAAAAAACCTTTGCATTGTTTTGTTAAAAAGTTTTTCTTAGATACAAAAGTTTAGCCACCGTTCCAACTAGCCAAAAATATATTTTGAAAATATTTATCTGAGAGAAGATGAAAAACTCAGTTTCAACTTCTTCAAGTAATCTACCTGAAAAAAACCTTCACATTGCATTACTGAATAGAATAACAAGTAGCTTTATTTGTAAAACATCAACAATAATGATTTAAGCATGCAAATTCCTTTTTCTGATCCAAACTCACTGATACCTAAGCATTTTAAAAAATGCCCTTCCTAATTTAGAAATTAAAATTAAGTTTCTTTCAATTTTTTTTTTTAATAAACTGTTTAATGTTTCATGTTTATACAGTAGTGCATAAATTGTTTTTAGCACCAAGTCCCGTGTTTTTACTACAAAAAAAAATTTGGTTGGAGTGTTTCTAAGGGTAAAACAACAAATAGTTTTTAAAAAAAAATTTCATTTGCAAACCCAAGAATGAAGACTATAAGCTAAATTACTTGTTCATGTTTTATGTGATACAAGAAAGCATATGGGTCAACCATCATTTCAATGAACTGTGACAAACTAAATGTCGTTCTTAAATTTTTCTTGTATTTTCTCTGGTAGCATCCATATAGTTGGAGAAAGACAGCTTGACAACAGCTAAAACAATGATCACGGCAATAAAACCTCTTATGGTCTCTCCGAGAGGCTCCACTGAGTCATTTTGTTCCCTTTGTACATTTATACAAAACGTTAATATTTTTTAATATGCTACTTGTCTTGTCCCATTTTTATTGCAAGAAGAAATGCAGTTCAAAAATTAAATTCCTAAAGAGTTTGTCTGGCATTTGACACATGTTGATTACTACTTTGGAAGCAACATGGCTCGGTTCTTTCTGCTTTGGACTTGTAGTCAGACGGTTGTGAGCTCGAAGCTAACTCACATAATCCTGTTGTGTACTTGAGTAAGACCTTTTTCTTTAATTATTTCAATCTACACGGCTGTATAATGGAAACCAGCTGTTAGCTGGGAGTTAACCTGCAATGGACTGACATTCCGTCCAGGGGGAATGTGTAACCGTTTTCACTTGTTTTTGCCTATTAAGCGGAAATGCAGTACCAAATCCGATGTGCCATCTTGGCATGGGAGGGATTTTATGTTTGATCTGATCACAATTCAACAAATGAAATATTACTTGTTTTCTCACATTTGTTGTATTAAGAGTTATAGTTTATGATAATACCATAAATAACAGTTCAGACTGTATTAATATTTCTTTATATAAAAACTTTACAGATGAGAAGTAATTAGGACTATCAGAGGTTTCTAAATATCAATACAACTTCAAACATATTAACATGAAAATAATATATCACATCCTGCATGCTCTTTGTTTATACAATTATTCTTTAAAAAAGAAATTAGTTAAAAACATTTAAATCAATTCATATAGGTCTAATGTAAATGGATACGTTAAAATATTTTATATCAAGCACATTTATACATTATAAAAAACGAACTCTTCTTATATACTGACCAACAAAGAGGCAGCTTGAACTCTGACATTCATGGACAAGTCATTTATCATGTGACAAACTTTGGCAAAAGCATCATCTGCTAAGCGTATTTTTTCTTGACTATTTAAAATGGTAACTAAGCTGCAACCAAAGGAGAAAAAGAATGTTTACTTATTACTCATTCTACCATTATTAAACGTTTTCTTACTATGTTTAGAATTAATAAATTACTTAAATTATGATGTTATGAAGAGAAGTACATAGACATACAAAAAGGAAAACAATTTTTTTCCCCATGCTAAAAATTAAGAAACATTACTTTCCTATTTGCGCCTTTACGCCCTTTTTTTATTTCAATATTTTAATTGCTTTTAATTTATACACTAGGATGACTACGAATATTTCATTCGTGTCATACTGTAATAATTATGCTTACAATTCCAATTTAAATGCAAATTGTAAAATGATTTACACATGACAATTAACCTTTATATATGGGTCCTATAGCTGTAGACTAACCAAATTTAAGGCTAATCATTAGAAAATTTAAAGTCCTATCTTCACAGCTGAAATTTACCTAAAAATATATAAAAAGATTAATAATAAAAGATCATTCAAGTACCATCTTTAAGTTATTTATTCAACTTTAGTGCATTTACAATGAATACCAATGTGTTTGATACTGTTGTATTCTACTAACATGACAGGTTGTATGTGTGTGTCTATTGAAAGTGTGAATATTTAATTTTGGCCTGTGATTGATTTAAGACTTTATAAAACCTTCAGCAACATAGTTAAAATTTTTCAAGGATTTAAAAATACAAAAACTAATTTACGACTTTTTAATACTCCTCAGGAACCACGTTATACATTTTAAATAGAAACTAAATGTTACTTATGAACAATACTACATCCACTAGTTTATCAATGACATTTGATAACCCGAGAGAATTGTGTCACTATAAAAACTGTGAACAAAACTTCTTACTGATAATAAAAATAATACTTAACTGTTCAGAATGAATTTGACTTAACACTTTTAATAAATTTAGTGCTGCAATCCTGACACCTTCATAGTCATCATTTAGTGCTTCGCAGACTTCTTTGTATAATGAAACATCCAGCAGGAGTCCTCGCTGATACAATTTGTGCTAATGAAACAAAACAATTAGTTTATTTATTTGTATTTGCACTTTTTCTGTGGTATATCATTCACCTAACATCGTATGCATAAAACCATATCTAATGATTCTTATAGAATGATATAAGAAAAATGTGTCATACTAGTACATCCTTTGTGACTTTTGTATGGGTAATGAAAAAATACAATGTTACCAATACACTGCCTAAAAAGCTTCGATCATTACACTTGTTGAATACTAATACATTCCAATTTACAGAAATTAATTTCCATCAGCACCACTTTATTTAAATTAAAACTTTCTTCAGCCAACAATTCTGTAACATAGATATATTAGGCTTACATAAAAAAAGAAACTATTTTGAGTTTCTCACATTTTTAGTGAGTTCCAATGAATTTTCTTCTCTATTTACTTTATTGTTTACCCTGTATGGATCTTATTTTAAAAAGAAATTTTCCATAAATGTCTTTTAGGTATTTGATCTACCTTCAGTATTTATTTCTTTATTGCACAAAAAGTGTTATCAGATTTTTATCGTACAGAAAAAAACTGTTAAAATTTATCTGAATATTATTCACTGACCATTGCCAATAGGGCTGCCGTTCTCACTCTGGGGTCTTGGTGTCTGCTGAAGTCCCCAACAGTACGTAGCATGGAAGTGGCATCATAATGATCACCAACGGGTGTCAAGTCACTGATCACCTCCATGCACTTGGATTTGACTAAGTGGCTGCTGTCCGCAAGACACTTCAAACAGAGATAACGAAAAGTTTAAAAAGCAACAGATATAGCTTTTGAAAGTGCAAAAGAAACAGATGTGAATGGAAAAACTAATTGGCACAATGTGGAAAAGATAATTTTTTTCTGGGGGGGTCTCAGTATTTCTGGTTGAAGGAGACTACTTTTTTGTGGTCATTAAAGAATTAATCTAGCTAGCTCACAGTCACTCAATCTCTGCAAAAAACAAGAGGTTTGGAGATTTAATACGTGAAGCAATTTTTTACAGGCGGAGTAAATGGACCAGACACAGTGTTAAAGTCTGAATAAAATAAAATGCTTTACAAAGACAAAGAACGGAGGTACAGTCAATCATGATAGCAGTGACTACTATGATTTAAAGTAGATAAGCAAAACAAAACTGCTTATACTGGAGGGTTATGGAAATATCTCTGACTGATATGACAGTCACGAGGTGTCCTCCAAGTTGAGGTCTAGTAGGACACAATAAAACTTTCTCATGAAACAATAGATTAGCTCTTTAACCAGTCAACCTATGAAAAGTAACATTATCTCAACTGGATTTATGATTTTCCAAATCAAAACTTAGATAAATTTTAAAATTTTGTATACACAAAATACATTACTATTAGGTCAGTAAGGTATGTAGTATTTTTGTATACTATACATTCATACAAAACTTCACTTGTTTAATTATTGGTAAAGGTATCACAGTTCAGTACATGTGAAAAACTCAATATTTCTATGCATGCATGGGAGGAATTATGATTGTTATTAAAAAAAATTAAATATGCAAATATTCATCATGCGACGACCAACAACATGATGTTGATGGCACCAATGTGTTAACTACACAGCTTAGTTCTGTCATTCACGTTGAATACTAAGCTCCATGACTGATTACATAGGACATTAATGGCATCAATATGTTGACTACACAGCTTAGTTCTGTCATTCACCTTGAATACTAAGCTCCACAGCTGATTACATACAACATTAATGGCACCAATGTGTTGACTACACAGCTTAGTTCTGTCATTCAC